TGTAAAAAGTTAAACATTTTAATGATATTTGGTTGTGGATCTGTTACGTTTCTCTCACTGATATGGTGTGTTGTGAAAGCTTAGAATTGTTATCAGAACTATTGTCTAATGTAAATGCTTCCCTTTTATCTTTGATGATGCGCAAGTTGGCGGGTAAGTAAAATCAAAGCTTACCGGCGAAGATCGTTTTATAAAAGATCTTGAAAGCTAAGATTTGCCAGTAGTAGATATTCTAAAATTGTTGCACTGCTTTAATCTAGACCTAAGATCGAGTGCTTAGAAGATGAGTGAAATTTCCGCAAAATTTATTATATTTTATATTTTTTTGATAAAGGCGAGAACACTGCCTAGTTTATAAAAAAAAATTGTGGAGGATACGTTATCCGAAGAAACGGCCCAATGATGGGCGCTTTCATTTTGGAAGTTCCGATGCTCTTCGAAGTGTTCGATGATCAATTACAGAAGAGGTTCATTCAATCATTGCGAAAGTTGAGTAAGACCGACACGTGAGTGGCCGCGCTATTGCTGAGGAACTAAACATTCACGACCCAATAGCTCTTCATTAGTTGAAGAAAGTTAGCTAAGAAAAAAAAAGGTCGGCCTTTGTGTGCCGCACAAATTGGAGCTAAGTAATTTATCCGATTGTATTTCCATTTACAAATACTCTACACAAATGTAACGGAATCGAGCCGTCTCTAGGCGGTAGATCATTAGTGACTAAAAGTGGAACACATACGACACTATAATGCAAACTAAAAAATAAGAAGTGTTTTTTTTTTTATTTCTATTACATATTTTGCGAAGCTTACACTCAAGTTAAAATGTGTATGGAATGGGAAAAAAAACCGTGGACTATTAGTTATTGCCACTTGGACACTCTATCAACGACTGACAAGATATATACAGAGCATTAATGGCGTCTTACATCATTACAATACAGGACCACATACACCCTTAGCGACCCAGTCAAACAACTTGGATGGGAAATCTTAACGCATCAGCCAGATAGCCCGGACTGTATGCCATCAGGCCATAATCCATTTCGGTCTCCCTTGTAAGACCCCTTTCTCGATGGCATTAATTTAGTTTCAACTGAGTGATGCGAAAAACGTTCCTTTGCCCAATAACTACAGAAGTTTTACAGCAAATAAATTATAGTAATACTAAAAAATTGGCGCTAGATCATCTGTCAGAATGGCGCATATTTAGTTTAATAATGTTATATTTAGACACAAAATTAGTTGCTTTATTTTTACCTGTAGATACAGTCCGTAGATACCTAAACAAATAAATTACTTCCAAAGCTGCGTGGATAAACCAGCATCTCTCTTTCGGCCACTATAATCTACTAATACCTGTGGAGGGTTTTCGAAGTTAAGTATGAAACGACTATTTTAGTCGGTCGGGCTACTTCCTGAGAACCGTCGAACAACCTTAACGATATCCGTGACAAGAGAGACCTTTATAACATCTTCAGTTATTACATAGTTTAACTTGCTAAATATTTCAGAAAAGGCTTTCTTTAAGGAACTGCCCAGGCGGATCTAAAAAAATACGCCCGAGGATGACATCCAGCGCTGCTAAAATGTATGACTCTCTGGTACACTGCAATCTAACTAGATGTGCAAACGGTGTCTCATTTAATATGTGTGGCATGGATCAAGGAGGCTCGCTTCAAACGTTTGGTAAAAAATACTGAAATTTAAACGGAGTGCAGTAGTCGCCAACAATCTTTCCTCTGATAAATGCTTTCAAGTCAACACGGGCCTCTTGGCAACGTCCTGATCCATAAGGGCTTGTTGGTACTTGTGAGTCGTATGTACGTGATATCGTCTCGGCTGTATCGCGGCTGGACAGAGACCCCTCGTGGACTACTGTAAAGTTAACGTTATCTAAAGCTTGCAGTTACCCATTGCCCTATGTACCTAAACGATGCATATGCTTTATGTGGCCATCACCGGTCGCTAGTGTCAAATAGTGCCAGCCTATTGTTACGTACAAAAGGTTTGATGCGACCATGGTTGGCAGACGCTCTAAATTCAACATCAGGTTCTTAGTGCAGAACACGAGCCCGAAGCTTGCACCTGACTACCGACAGCCTTGATAAATTGAGAAGAGAGTCAGTTAACTTCGAAGGTCCGATTCAGACTCATTTTTTTTTATTCATCTGTTGTAGACCACTTCATTGCTGGCTGAATATAAGCTCATAAATACTTACGTTCTCATGTAATTGATCGATACGACAAATGTATTCACGGCTATAATTTTGAAGGCCCTTAAGCCACACGTTGTTCGGGGACTGGGTGACCGCCAAACGGCTTCCTTCTTTATTAGGGCCGAGTCGCGCTTTTTTCGAAAACGTACTATTCTTTAATGAAATGTTTGTAACATCGTTTGTTTTTAGCTACCTTCTACTGTAAACTTGCTCTTTGGATATAATACAATAAGGTTCTCATACAAGACGCGGAATGCTCTCATTAGGATTGAGCAGCTTTGTTGTTTGACACACGCGACGATTCTGCTAATTACTAATTTATTTGATGATTATTTGCGTATAACGTATCTATTCTTTGTGTAAGATTGGGGGATGAATCGAGAGCATTATGTGAAATTCTAGGAAAGAGAGCTTTCAAAGTTAGATTGATTTTGAAACATACCTCTACGCACTCAAGCCACGCATTTATAGTAAAACGGTAAATTCACTCGGTAGTTATCTTTTCGAATCATCGAAAGATTATATAATCTAAATTTTTTTTTCTTAATAACAATGTTTATATTGACTCGTGCAGCCATTTAGCGATACAGCGAATACAGAGCGACATGTCATTAGCTTTGGAAAGATAGATCGTCGCGCGCGGCGAGGACGAATGAGGTTATAGCGGTCCTGTTAAGTGTAGAAGTTTTTTAAGCATGTGTTTGTAGACGACAGATTATTCCCCATCCAGTGTTCTCACAAGCGCATGATCTCCTCCAGTGGCCTTTATAACTGAATTAGCACTGCGTAGAACAAAAGATATTTTTGTCGTGTGCCTGAAACGGCCCAAAAAGATCCTTCTTTTTCCTATGGCAAAACCCCGAAAGAAAGGTATCATCTATGAATGAAATAGTGCGATTTCATTACGTCTAATCATTCAGTTTCAAAATATTTTTACTTGAAACTAACCAAGTCATTTTCTGAAACCTCAAAATTGCGTAATTTCTTAAAGCTCAAAAATTTTTCCATAACAAATTGGTTTGAAGTACTTCTCACTCAATCGAAATATTTATAAATAATGTATAAACAACACAAACAAAGCATGTCATACTCGTTTTGGTGCGCTACTACAATTTAACACTTTTTTTTTTCGTTTTTATAAGGGTCGGGGTTTACTCGTTAAAACGAAATAAACGACAGGCTGGGGTTAGTATAACTTGTGAGTCAGGATAAGTTTTATGCGAGTCTGTGTTTAATAGAGATATTGGATACTGACAAGGGGAATAAAGAAATGTTTTGAAAGCGTAACGGACTGGGTGCTTCATCCATATAAAGTCGATTTCACTGAGTTTATGTCGCTGTGTGAGTAGGCAAGTGAGTGATAATTCTACGCAACGATCAAAGATAAGGTGATCATAAAGACTATGACTGTTGCAGAATCTCTCGAAATTAGAGCCTTTTTGGTACATAATGTAGCTGACCATTCAGCTCATTTTAACTGGTAAAAAGTTCATCTTTGATGGCTTTAGTGTTAAGTGGCCTATTTCATAAATATCTTGAATTGTTTCAAGGATATCTATTAGCTAGATTTGAAGCTCTCTATGCCGATGTGCGGTAGACCTGAAGGTCCAATACGTTCTTTGCTGCTTCACTGATTTTCCATGGCTGAGTGGCAACAACCTTGATCGTCTTGAGCGTCGACTTCGTCTCAAAACAGAAACGCCACAGATGCTGTCGCAGTGGCACCTGCAAGCCGGAAAGCACGGAAACAACCTCCAGCTACGACTGCGTGCATTTTCGTACTTCAAATTATTACGTCCGATCGAAATCAGCGTTATTATTTATCTGCCATACAGTCGAAATAGGCAGATCGCACCGTGGGCTAGGTCGTTATCAGAAATATTTGTACCAATAAGGCCAACCCTAGCAACGCTTTGTCAAATACATTTGACAAACGTGTTTTTATAAAATATTTTTAACAAAAATAATTTCATACTGGTTGTAAAAGTCGTTTCGTAATTTTTACAATTATATGTGATGAATACTATAGTCTACTGCGTATTTAGGTAGGCTATTGTTTCCACTGTAAATTGTCTAAAATAAAACTAAAACGAGTTATCTTATAATCTCTTTAAAGAGCTTTTTGCAAGTAGGGACATAACTTCACACGAACAAGAGCTATGATGCAACTTCTCAGAAAACTAGGATATCTGAAACTTTGCTTTCTTTTACTGGTCAAAAGATAGGTTTGCTAGGGTTGTACGTGAGTGAGCGAAAGAGCGAAATCCACTACAACACGTTACAAACTTACAAAGTTGATTTCGTACAGTTGACCGCACAAGACATTTTATAGAAAATGATTTTGTCATATATCTTAAAGTGTTAGAGCCGATCATTTTCACGTGGACACGATTTACTTATGGCGTTTATGCGCTCTGTTTGTCTCAACTATTGCCTATGCTACTCCCTTGTATCAGCCGTTAGTGTTATTAACGAAAATTCTGTTTATTCAGAGCAAAGCGAAATCGAAATGAATGTGGATATTGTTCTCTGCAGAAGCAAGTCTCACAATGAGAGCTGAAAGCGCAGATTATAGATTTACTCTATTGTTGTCCGACCGATCCGTAAATTTCTACACTTACACCTTCTACACGATAAGTTGTATTTAATTACAATCAAAGCGTATGGGTTAGGAGGACACGTAACGGAAGGTGCAGCTTCTACAAATATACACCAACATATGCACAATAAACTTCATATTAAGTTGCCAGGCATAGTTAATAACAAATATTTTTTGTGACTTCAGGGGCTCCTGTTGGGTGCAGCGGCGATGCGTGCACCGTGAGACAGGTCGACAATTTTCTGTAAAAATTGTTGATGTTGCTAAGATTGCTACTTCTGCATCGTTAGATATTGAAGGTATATATTAGCCTTAAATATTATATATTTGCTCGTAAATATTAGCCAAAAGACTATCTCAGAGGAGACTACTTTCTGTCTACAAACCACAATTAAATGGCAGACAGATTAAACACATTCATTAAATTAACACTGTTTATTGAGCAAACGATATATGTACGCATTTCTATATGAAAATTGTCCTTGTCAGTGAATTCTATAGTTTTTGAACCCAAAATATGTTACTTGCTGATGGACTCTCCAATGGAAGATCATATTAGATAGGTACCACATAACGATTATGTATAAATATTAACCATGCACATACTATGCATTTACAGATATAAAAAGAGAGGCAACTATTTGCCACTCGTTGAAACATTCACACATCGTCGAATTGCTGGAGACGTATAGTTCCGAGGGAATACTTTATATGGTGTTTGAATTGTAAGTATTTACTTAGTATACACGATACAATACGGGTATGATATATGCTTTCACTTAGAATTAGTGTACTGTTTGAAAAATATACTTTCGGCTATTAACATCTTCTCTGCGTTCTAACATTTATTTCGATCGCTGGTTCAACAAGACCTAGCAATGAAGAAATTAAACTGTAAGCCATCAAGCGGTATTGTTCGCACATAAGAGACCCCCAGATGAAACGAGAGACGTCACATTTTCTATTACTACACTATGCAGAATAGGCTATGGCAACTAGGCCCATTTGGTAAAAGGCCAAGTCTATGAGTGCTCGTCATGTCTCAAGAAGAAGAAGAATGAGATTGAGATTTTAACCACTTATGAGCTAAGTTACACGGCTTAGTTCAATTAATGTTATTACAGATCATAAATTCGAAACTTAGTTCTGAAGACGATGTGCTGTATCCAAGGCTCTTGTTTCGAAATAATTGTTCGAACCATATGATTTAAGGAATATGAATATATCGTAATAACAAGTATACTATTCTACTTATCGTCACTTTGTAGTGTCAGTACAGCCTGAATAAGTCATCGGTTAACAATTTTTTCAGCTCGTCCCAGCTACGATTGTCTAGATTGTCACTTGGGGAAGCTTGCTAATGGTGCGCAAGTATGCAAAGGAACCATCGTAATTTCAGGCAACACATTTATCATATACATAATCGTCCGGTTTTCCCCTTTACACCTTTATTCCAGATGCAAGAAATTTGTTTCTCGTCACGCTTCCTCGTTACGTTTCATGCGCCGCCGCGCAACCTGAGAAGAAACTAAGCCCCAGACGTTCGCAGGGAGATTGTTCAAGCTAATTTGCGCCAAGCCCAAATATAATATGACGCCTTATAGGGGGCATCATGCAGTCCCAAGTGTTTGTCTTGCTAAAGAATGAGTAGCACTTTCTATCGCTGTTTCTGGGAGAATAGTTTTTACCATCAACTATAAAAAGTGCTGTTTAATCTAATGAATTTAAAATGTCTTCTTCTAATTAGCCTATTGGCGAATTAGCTTTATCTCAGGTGTAAAAATTACAGCAACAAAAAAATGATTATTCCTTATCGGAATCTCTGACAAGTTCGAGGACCCTCTGCATGTAATCCTTTTCATTTTAACATATAATAGAAGCGTCAGTATTTGTCTTCTACCCGCTCCTTTGCAGAATCTGATATCTGCGATTCGCCTAAAACGCAAAACTTATTCCCATACCTAGAGAATGAACGTATATGTGTATTTTCCACATTACACGACAAATATGACTGTTACAGTTTTAGTTAGGCCTTTCGCTAACATGTTACTGGCATTGCCGATGGGGCCCACATACGGTACCTCTGTACTCGGTCTCGTACGGGTCGGTTGTCCATAGATCGTATGAACGCTAATAGATTGTTGTATGTATTGTTGCTACAAGCATTGCTTTCACCATCCAGCTGGTCGCTTCCCAATAGTTGCCTTTCGCGTCCGGATCTGCTCGTCGGAAAGTTCACTGTACCTTCGTTTACGCTACGCTATGACCTTGACGCCAGTCAGATAGTTGAAAAATTACAAGCAGCGACCGAATTAGGGTTGAAGAACTGTTATACCATACCAAACCAAACACTACACGGTTATATAAATGTTCGTATGCTGGCAGATGATTTTTACTTGATTTGGTTTCGATCTCGTACTTAGAACACGAGACCGTCTGCCAAAGTTGATCCATGTCCATTGTTTTGCGACTGCAGTACACTAACAAGCAGACTAGTTTTGACCTATCGTGTACACGCAGCTGTATGAATCCGGAAAGCTGGTTGTGAAAAGAAAGAAGCGAGGCAAAGACCATTTTTTGGTGAGTAAGATAAGATTGAAAGTTTCACTACGTAGTAGATGGAGTAGCTTTCGTTGATTATATAAATGTTTACCAGAACCGTAAATAACTAAAATCCGTCTGTAATTTAACTTCCATGACAGAAGTGCACCTCTTAACTCGTTCGTCTTCATTCCCTAGGTCTACGTCTAAGTTACCAGGTAGTGCATGTTCAGGTGGAACACTCTGAGTTAGTATAATTTCGACAGTTTCTACCTAAATACCTAAATGGGCCTATGATCTAAAAAAAAGATACGAGCTTCAATTTTAAACTCGGCAGAGGATATCTATAGCTGTTGAAGACCAGCAAAATAACAAAGTTTGAGAAAAAGGCTAAATTGAAGCGTGATGATTTAGACACGTGCTATGGTTATCTGAGTTTGCCAAATGTTTGGGTGAAAATGCTTTACTCATACTATTCGTCATAAACGTTACCCAGAGCCCATCTATGGCTTTCAGCATTGAAAAAAAAAACTACGTGCGTTATGATTAACAACAAAGTAGGATTCTTTTCAAAAATTACGTGTGTCAATGCAATGTTTATTTTAAGCAATTTCGTTTAGTCAAAGAAAAGACGTTTACTTGAATACTTTACTTTAGCCGCATTAGCTGAGTAAGGTTGAAACGATAGAAAATACATATTTTTTTGTTTGAGCTTATTGATGAACCCTTATTATTCACAAACACCACTTTTGCCGTATAACGCACAACGTTCTGCTAACTTAAGACTACAAACGACAATTGCAAATAGAGAACACTTTTTTTTTAATTAGTTCTCTGCATGCACTCGAAAAACTTCACTCTTTGCTCTGTTTAAATGTTCTATGATAAGTTTGTGCAAGTTGAAAAATTACAATTTAAACTTCCAATAAAAAAAATCATATTGGGGCATTAACAACTAATCGTTGAGAATTCTTTCATTGTACCTCTAATGTAAGCCCATCTTTATGATAGAAATATGCTCATGTATGCTTATGGATGCCTTATGGATGATCGAAACCTCTGGAAAGCCATGATGAAGCGAAATAACAACTCAAGTATGTCAATTTGTTTGTATATGACGTACGCTAAGCCAAAAGGAGCGTATACTCGCTGAGTACTTTGCCTCTTTCGTCTCAACAATGGCGTTCGTGACACTGACCGTTACACCTGGCTCGGTAAGAACTGCATGCAGTCTAAAGGAGGGCCCCTCCCACTTGAGACCATCTCATGAATTATTTGGTTACCTGCGTACAGGAAAACCTTGGAAACATTTCTAGCTTTTCAAATCTTCTCGGGTAGATCGTTCAATAGATATAAAAGAACAAAGGGCTTAGAGTACCTTTCTGAGCCAACCCAATTGTTTGAAAGATAAGGGCTAGTTCTGGTTTCCCTATCCTTGTTTCTTGCTGCCACGAAACAACTCTAGTTTATATAGAACTTATACCTAAGCCCCGAGTAGAAAAAGGCGTATTATAACCTTTATCTGCCCAGGGGTTGTTAATAATGCTTAACGATAATACTTTGGGCTTCCCTCCTTCCTTAAACCCTCTTGCAAAATAGTTCTTTAACTTGCTTGCAGCTCGAAAACTTTGAGTCGAAAGACAGCAAAAGAACTTGTCTTAAGTTTCGCTCACAAAGCAGTATAAGCTAAACTGGATTGCTTTTGCCGCAAGGCATGATCCTAACAGTCTGTTTCCTCCATGAATCGCAGACGCTCGTTGATGAGCGTTTTCGTTTCCATGTTCGTCTGTATGTTTACCCTAAAACCAAAAATGGTCTAACTGCCTTACTGGAGCGTAACCTATGGGAAGCTGTATCAATAAACGCGTAGTAAAGTTTTGCTCATTCCCGTTCATAGCAAATAACACAATATCTCTAACAAGGTAACTTATCGAGCAAATTAAGCATACATGAACTGACCGAGTAGGAAAACGTTCCATGCTCAGTTTATATAGCTGACGCTAAGTTTCCTTGAGCGGAATAACTTTCTTCGGATTGAAAAACTTCGTACTTGCAAGGCATATGTCGTTTAACACTTTGCTTATAAAAACGCTAGGACTTGCTTGCAGTCCCAGGTGCAACCAAGTGAATCGATCATTACCGAATTATTGCAGGTAGACCAATCCACACACAAATGTGTTCTTGAAAATGACCGCTTTTTCGTTGCAAACGGATCTCAGCGATACAGCTCGTTCTGACCTTTCTGATGTTGATAACGCACACATCTACGAAAAAATGCCCTGCACGGCCAGGACAAGCTGATATGGAGCTTCTGTCCTTTTAGGAGTGAAACCTGTCTAGCAAATTTGCATGAGTAATTGATGACGTATTCAAGATTCATGATAGGTGCTTAAAAGCCAAGGCTAAACTTAGAACTTACAATTACGTAAAGCATGGAATTGAAAGAGCAAAAAAAAATAGCTGAATGTACGGGGTTTGTGCGAAATGTTGCGGTCTGAAAACAGGATTCTTCCAGAAATCAAACTCTGTGTTAAAATTGAATGTGAAATTCTAATTAGACATAAGATTCAATTGACGGTAAGCGTTTGTGATGATCATGCGTAATATTGTAGCGTGATTAACGAGTCGTTCCCTCATTATACTGTTGGTTTCTCTATTGCCGTTTCATCTATCGGCTTCGGTTATTCATTTATAGTATGATTTGTTCAGTGGTGCTGACGAAATGATGTCACTGGCAGCTTTCTACTTTGCTCGGATATACCAAACATTCCTTCTATTCTTTCCCTTGTGATCGGGTTTATACGCCGCTTGTGCGTGCATTTCCTGGCGTTCACATCTCCATTGTACGCTGTCACAATGATACACATACAGACGCATGCCTACCCATATACTCGGATATGGCAAGAGAGCTAGGGTCTTTTCTTGATCTTTCCGTGCCTGCTTTTCCCATCCTTTTTAGACAATATCTCCTCTTTGAAAGTAACATTGCAGGGTGCCCTCTCGTAGCAAGTTTAGCACAAAATATGGGCATGCGCTCATTGATATGAGGCATAAACGAACACGAAGCTTAATAGCAAGAGAGATAAGCGAGATGCAGCCTACTGCTAGTGGATCTGTTGTCTAATTTTTGGACATGTTAGTTTCAGTATTATTCAGCAACGTTTTCTCATTTTGTTTGGCTTTG